TCTGCCGGGCTCTGTCAGTGGTTCTCAGGGAGCACTTCCTTAGATCTAGGGAAAAATGATGGACATTTGGATGGAATGTTTCTTGGGTTCTTGGATCGTTGGAAATTTAGGACTCCTAGTGACTTCGATTGTGGGAAATTTTAGGTTTTTGGGGATTTAGACTGTTGGATCGTTGAGTGCTTGGAAATCTTGGATTCTTCGATTATTGGATTTTTGGATTATTGGAAATTTGGGATTACTGGTGACTTCGATTGCTGGAAATCTTAGATTTTTGAATTTCTAGACTATTAGAGATTATTGAGTGCTTGGTAACCTTGGATTTTTCGATTGTTCGAATACTGGTTTATTGGAAGTTTGGGACTCCTGGTGTCTTGGATTGTTGGAAATCTTAAATTTTCTGATTTTTCTACTGTTAGATAATTGAATGCTTAGAAATCCTGGATTCTTCAATTATAGTATTACTAGAAACCTTAGATTTTTAGGTTTCTAAACTGTTAGATTATTAAGTGCTTGGTAACCTTGTATTCTTCGATTCTTGAATCATTGGAAATTTAAGATTCCTGAACTCTAATTATAGTAATTCTTGAACACTTGAATTCTTACATTCTTCGATTCCTTTTTTTAATTAATGAAATTTGGTTTACTCCTCCATCGAAGAAGATAAAGATAACAGTTGGCCGCGGGGGAATCTGTTTCCTTTGAGCTCTCGGAAACTTCTACTACGATCCCTGGAAGATCTACAGCCTCAGAGCTGATCAGTATTCGAAAATGCGTTTCAGTAGCCAATTTTTCAATCCGGTTCGGTGTACCAATGCCGGTTACGGTCGCGTTAACAAGCAGAGCAGCCTGTTTAACTTGAAAGGGCCTGAAATTGCGAACAATAGGCCATTTGACGAAGAGCAACCGGCTGGTCGGTCGGTCGTCCTACCTTTGCAAGCCTAATCCACTGTGTGGGCAAGAAATATGCAGCTTCTTCTTCGGCCATAGATGGCCTGCGCTGCCTTCATTGCTCGCCAGTAGCTCTCATCTCTTTGTCATCCTCCTGTTGACAGATTCCTCACTGCCATTTCTATCAACGTTATCTACCATCGGCGTCTCCTATGTTCTTTCCTGTACCCATTAAAATATACTCGAAAGAAACCTCCTTACATGACTTCTAATCCTCCGGTTTCACTTTACGAGTTCATTATAAATTCAAAATGAAATTTCATATACTCCATAGAATTCATATTTTCAATCGTTTAGATTTACTATTAACCCTTTGCGGACGGATGTTAGCATTTCGGTGAGATGAAATATTCAAATTCGGAAGACTAAGTCGTGGACAAATGATCTAATTAGTCGAACAGCAAGAGATCAGCACGCAGTTTCCTTTCTTTCTATCAATTAAGCAACTAGAATATAATTTAGCTTCATATGTTGAAGGTTTTGTATGTTTCGAAGAATCTTCGTCCGCAGAGGCTTAAATCATTTTCAAATATCTTAAATATTCCAGAAGTCTCTTTTAATACTAAAACTACCGGTCGGGTCGAAACGACCCATTCCTGGTGCCTCCCTTTTGCAATTATTAAAAAGATAAATGAATTGAATTCAACAAATGTTCTGAATTGTAAATCAATTGAAAGTCTCAACAGATGCACTCTTTAAATTTATACAGAGGAATTTCAGAAAGTAAATTTAGCTCGGTAGTTGTAGCGTTAAACTCCCTATTAACCCTTTGAAAACGAATGTCAACACACTGACATATCTTACCATCTAAAATCACCACGACAAAGTAATTCAATTACTTAAACAACAAAACATCAATCTATAATTTTCTCCCTTCAGAAATATCTCTTTTCTGAAATATCTTCAACCCCTTAACTTACATCCCATCAGACTAGCGATAAAGATTCCAAAGTGAATTTAAAAGTGTTACTTGTTTCTCCAAAATACAAATTAAATATTACCTGCCTATAATCGTCAACCTCTGGAATAAACATAATCACAGAACAAGCGTCAAAATTGTTTCTTCCCCAAATAAAGGATCGACAAAGTAGTTGCATCCATCGTAGTTAAAAAACGAACCAAACGATCGACATTCCAAAAGATCTCCGTCAAAGGGTTAAACCGATCGACGCTGCTCGGAGGAAGGTCAAACCCGTGGAACATTCCACAGGAAGTAATTCTTCAGCCTCGAGCAACCGAGCCAGCTTCCTGAAGACGATGAAGGATCTAGCAGGAAGTCGTTCGTCCGTTCCTCCGGCCCGGGACCGATCAGCCGATTCTTTTTCCGCTCGATTATTCCCCATATCGACGTAATAACGAATCGACGGCGCGGCGCAGGGCGAGCCCGCGTTCCTCGCGGCCGGGAAAATGTAACGGGTGACGTAACGGTGTTTCTATTAGACGGATAACACGCCGTGACAGAGAAGCTCTGGCCGCGGCCATTAAAATTCCCGGTGCTCCTTTTTGCTGGGCCGGTTCCATTATGTTGCCACGGTTCGCGCACGGCGTTGCCGGACGGCACCACCGACCTTGGAATGATTGGAAGCTGCGCGCGTCCAGCGTTATTCGTTCGCGAACACGATTCCCGTCCCGGCTTCCATGCTCGCTTCCATTTAACGCCTCGCGCCTTCCTCGCGCGAAATCGAATCGATTTTTGCGCGGCGAAGCGACTGTCGGGCTATTCGCATAACGAAAATTGAAGGTTACCAGTATGTCGCTGACTAGTCTCTGCTAGACAAAATGATCTTTGTTTGAAAAATACAAATTTTTTGGAAGGAAACTGCGTTTCTTTGTTTAGATAACGTTGGAATCGAAACGTAAAATATCTATTGGCGTTTAAAGTACTTCATATCTCCATAATTTTGAAGAAGGTCTAAACACCATATGTTTAGCTAGATAATTTTAATTACAAGTTATTGAGTTTTGTTCAGTAAACGGCCTTATAGCGGAAAAATGAAAAGAATCTGATATTTATTCGACGTCCACGTTTGACCTGGAAGATAACGATTGATAACAGAGAATTGATATGTAATTTACGTTGGAGAAAGGTTGTAAATAACGTTTAGGTCCGTTGAGTTCATTTCTCAGCGATTTTTATTATCCTTCGTCGGTGTTTCGTTGCTTTGTTCCTTTTTTCTCCAATAAACTCTATTCTTCTATGTTCTCGCGGTAACGGCGAAGTGAATAACGTTAACCCACGTGGATCCTGAGATCGGAAAATTGGAAAGTTCGTAGGTGAACTCTGAATCCGAGGATTGATGGGATAGAAACTCGGGGTTCATGGAAACGGTGATCTGCCGGCGGAATCGAAAGTTACGACGAATAAATTAAATTACTTTCAACGACCGGTGAATTTATTAACGATTCATCAGAGTTCAGTGAAATTGCTTGATTTTTATGGGATTAACTTCGAGAATAAAATTCTCGAGAATTCTACAGAATTGCAGATTAGTTGTGTACACCTCTCGAGTTTGGTGTTCTGGGGATCAATTGATTTTTGAAATTATTCTTATACGAGTTCGTGGCCGGACGAGAGAGAAAAAGGGAGGTCGTGGTTTCAGAGGAAACGAAAGAGGTGAAAGTCGGCCATTAATCCTTGCGAAGCCGGCTGGTATGGATAATCACGAGATGACCACCTTGGACACCACGGCAGTCCTTTCTTTCTCACGATAATTCCACACGCGAGTGATTGCAGGACTCGCGAAAGGGCACATCCATGCTGGTGCCCCGTAAATCCTAGAAACCATCTCGGTGATTCTGTATCGTAACCATTAGAGTATCCCAAAGTAAAGTATTCTTAAGAATACTGCTTTCAATTAATTCACAATTTCATTTTAAAAAGCGACAATTTTTTAATGGCAATATCTATATACCAAAGAATACTTCTTCAAATCTTCGAAACATCGAAACGTTCGAGTTCTAAATAATCCCCAATTATTCAAACAAAAAACCCTAAATCAATTTTTATTCCAATACTTTGCAGATCTAATATCTTCGTTTTACCATAGCTATAAAAATAGAAAAAAAGGCTGCACACTTCGAAGATCAATACAAATCATGAACAATACAGAACCAAAAAGGGTTCGCCCATCGAACAGTCATCATCCCTATAATTATTCCTCGCACTATTCTTCAAGGAAACCTTTAAGTTCTAAATAATCCCTAATTAATCAAAGTAACAACCCTAAATCAATTGCAAAACCCAATACCTTGCAAATCTAATATCTTCGTTTTTCCGTAGCTACAAAAATAGAAAAAAAGACTGCACGCTTCGAAGATCAATACAAATCATGAAGAATAAAGAACCAAAAAGGGTTCGCCCATCGAACAGTCATCATCCCTATCATTATTCCCCGCAGTATTCTTCAAAGAAACCTTCAATTCTGTTTTCCAAGAGCCCTCGCGCCGTAAACACAGACCACGGGGCTTCCTGAGCGCGATAAAACCGGCAGCGACGGCCATTAATCGTTGAAACACGTAAAACAGGAAGTCCCTTCTAATGGACAATGTTGCGCGCCGGAGAGGATAACAATTTTGCCGGGACGTCTGCGGAATGCGCGCCGCGCGGACAGCGGCGATAAATCGAGGACAAAAAAGGGGTGGACGGGGGACGGTGGGTGGAGCTGTCGTTTAGCGGGCGAAAGGGGTTGGTCGTTCGCTTGCAATTTACTGGGCACGGATTTTACGATGTAATTGGTCCTCCGGGGATGTCGATGCTGGCATTCCCGCCTCCCGTCAACCCCTTCCCATAGTCGTCGCGTATGAAACCGGTGGTTACATCTCTGCGCCAGCCCTTTCGGCGCTGAACACTTTGGTGTTTACGACGCATCCCGCTTCGGAACAATTTCATACGGTGATTTTAGTCATCTTCCAAGGTTTTCTGGGGGGCATTCCGTAATTATATATTTTCTCGAGACACGGCAACTACTCTGTGAAAGTAATCCGCGATTGTATTATATTTCGAGATACACTTTACTTAGGGTTGTAATTACATAATATTCTGTTTCTCTTAGGTGTTACATGAACATGCGATCGAAGAATTATGAGAAGACCTGATGCAGTAGTCTGTGAGTAAACATTTATTCCTAATTTCTTCTGTGAAACATTTAATATTTATTCTTTGGTATCGCGTTAATCAGTTGCGAAGGTCTTTAGAAAATTTATTACCATTGGTACCAATATTAACCCTTTGCACTCGAGAGGTGACTCTCAGTCACCACTTGATTTGGTATAGTAAAATTATAAGGTCATATATAATCTTAAGCTTTGTATAATGCATCGATATGTGAAATATTCGAATAAAATAGCTTTGTTTCTTGATTTATGTATGTTTTCTCATTGGTTGGTTTCAAACAACGTCGTCTACATCTTGCCGGAAAACGTTGAATATTTCTAGTGAAAAACTTTTGAGTGCAAAGGATTAACTACCGATGTTTAACGCGCTGAGAAAAGAAAGAATTTTAAACAGAAAGTCGTAACAGTTACGGAAGAAAACTGAAGCAACCCTTTGATCCGGCGCCACCCGACGCGCGACCGTTTCCACCGCGCTTTACCTACCAAAGATTGTTCTGAATGGTACCCTCGAACGAGGAGATCTGAACCAGCGCACGGCCTCCACTATCGCCGTAATCGCGGCGGATTAATTCTTTTCTTATTGTTCCGCAGAGATTATTTTCGTAATGGGAATTAATTATTCGCTGAAACTCAGCGCTTATTAATGGGGCCGACAGGCCCATTATTGCCGTCCCGGTTTTTGCACGTTTTACGCCGGGGAAAGGGGACCGCGAGACGGCTCGCCGCCGCGTAATTGGCTTAATTGATCGGACGATAAGTGAATCCCCCGAGCTAGAAATATGTTTATAGATTGTATTTACGAGGGTCCCGTTTTTTTCGGACCACCCCGGGGTTCTGACGTATTTTTGCTCGGTTCCGATTTCTTTTATGGACCTCGTTACTGCCGTTCGCCCGATGCATCGCACGAGACGAGCGCCTATTTCCCGACCGCACAACGAACGAGCGGCGAGGGCGTACGGGAGAAAGAAAAGGCAAGGTTAATGCGGAGAATATAGAAGGAAATTTCAGCGAGAGTGAAATATAACTGCGGGAATGATTTATACGCGGTGTGGGTTCGTCTGTTTGCGGACGGCTTGTTTTTCTGCATAAATTATTATTATTCGATCGCCGGACGCTAGAATCACGTGCAATTCGAAATTTTTGAATTTCTTCTTGCGTTTTTGAGGAAAATTGAGACAACCTTCAGTTGAAAGTTGATAATAGTGTAATGGCGAGGATTGTAACGCTAATTAGCGTGTCGATACAAATTTAGATAGATTTAAATGATTGAACAGGAGTTAAACTCGAAATTGAGAATATAAGTCTCAAATTTCAAATAATATACTCTTTCCGAATTATAGTACAAGAAACTATAAAGCGACACGTATACAGTCGATGATTTTCATCGATTAATTCACGAGGATGAATCGTCTCTTTCCCTGCGGAGAATACGTTCTCGCTAAACGAGAAAGCAACCGTGTTTCCCAGACGTTCCGTCCGTAATCGTTGCTCAACATCAAGATAATGGTTTTCCATTTTCCTGGCCCGACACGCTAGCAGACGTCGAGCTTTTCCGCCGCGTCGCGTCGTTATCCTTTGTCCCATCGCCGAGGCTGATTTGCATTTAACCAACGGAGAAACCGATCGTTTCCCTAAGGCTCGCGGAAACATCCCTCATAGCTACTGTTCGTTAGTGTCCCACGATTGTTAATACACGTATCGTTTGATTGTCTTCGACGAAGACGGAATGCTTCGGCGATCTGTATGTTCGATCTTGAAAAATCGTCTCGTGAAACCGTCTCGGTGATCGTAGAATGAACGAAATTATTCTAGATACAATGATAAATAGATCTTCGATTAACCCCCTGCCATATAATCTTCTTTTCCACTAAACTTAACTAACTTTACTACGAAAATTTGCAAGAAATATTCAGAAACTCATTTATTGTAAGTGCACATTACCTTTGAAGCTAAAATATTGAAAATAGAACAGTCTATCGCTTCGATCCATATAGAATAAGAAACATTGGGTTCTCTTAACTTAATCTAGAAACCTTCACGAATTTCGTCATTGGAGACCAAGGGATAAAGATGATTTGCAGGAAAGTTGATTACTGAAAGTTGAATCTCTGATAATTAAATTCAAATGATTAAATCTTCAATAGCTTTTATTCTCTGTAAAATAATAATCGTAGGAATCAAAAAATAATCTCCGTACAATATTTCAACGCATTGTTCACGGTGCTATTATAAACAGCGTCTTGCTAAAAATCCCGATTTCCTTCGAAGAGAACAACCCTCGATTCTTCAGGCTCCGCGAACAGTAAACACCTCAATAAAAACATATCGGAGGAGCTCGCGCCGAAGCGAAAGAAAATTCTCCACGGACAGCGTAGAATTAACCGGTCGAAGAAAAAGGCGATCGCGCTGCCGTTCCCGGGCGCGCGAATTTCCGGCGTTGGTAGCCGCGAAACGCCGCTTAACTGTACGCGGCGTACCTTTCCACGAGGATGTATCGTTTGCACACAGGTGCAACGACGCGCTGGCAAGGCCATCGTCAAGGATACCGGCGTAGCCAGCGCACGAGGTAGTTAGAACTGGATACACCGGCGTGCCCGGCCGCCCATTTTGCGATTTACTGCGGCTGTCGAAACGATCCTCTTCTTCGCTCGCTTCGTTCCTTGGTTCGCCTTCGCTGTGACGTATCCCGTAACGAACGAATTTTTAACGCTTCGCGAGCAGAGCCCTACAGCGGAGTTTCAATCAGCATTTGGTTCGGTTTACCAAGATTTCGAAGTCCAGCGTTTCGTATTGAATTGTGTAGTTTCGTGGGTTTGTAGCTTTGTTACGTTGTAATTTTGATGTTTTATAGTTTCGTTGTGTTGTAGCTTTGTAACTTTGTATCGTTGTGATTTTGAAATTCCGTCGTTTCGTTGTTTTGTAGATTTGTAGCTTTGTTGTGTTGTAATGTTGGTATTTCGTAGTTTTGTTGTGTTGTAGCTTTGTAACTTTGTATTGTTGTGATTTTGAAATTCCGTAGTTTCGTTGTTTTGTAGATTTGTAGCTTTGTTGTGTTGTAATTTTGTAGCCTTGTGATTCTGTAGGTTCATATAGTAATCTTGCAATTTCGTAGCTTTGTAGTTTTGTAGCTTTCAAATTATATAGTTTGGTAACATAATTTTGCAATTTCGAGCTCGTTACGTGAAACGTTAATGTAGATCCGTCCCTTCATTTGTGTATGATTGTCCTGCACGGTATTTATTAGAAGACTGTGGACATTTATAGCGAAGAAACTATCGAGTAAAGATACTTAACTCAACCGCACGCTGCATTCGTTTTATTTTCTTCTCGTTTTATCGAGGATGTACTTTTCACTTTGAATTCAGAAAAATTGGTAAATTGATTAGTGATTAGTGATTAGTGATTCGAATGTGTGGACGGAAACTGAGCACGACAGCAAGCTTAAATTGTGATTATATTTATTAGCGGGACACAGGCCGGGCCGGTTTTATTCAGACGCGGACGTGATCAACTACGCCGATGATCTATCAACAGGATACTCGAATAGATTTCAAGTTACTCGAGTCGTCGACGCTCGATGGGACCGCGGAAAAATGAGGAACTGGTTCCGCTGAATATTCCGCGGCTCGAGGAATTTCCTGCTGCGAGAAGACGTCGGGGCTCGAGCCAGTTGTGCTCCTTGGAAACGAAACTTTTTGTACATTCTTCTTTCCAGAATTTTTCATTGACTTCAATCATTTTAATTCCCATTGTATAATCATTAGCTTCTCCATTCTCCTATTTTCCCATTTAAAATAACATACAAAACACATGTGAGATACAATTTTCTTTTAACGTCACATTCAGAGGAATAATTCGAATTCAATTATTAGACTCAGATGTTCTTTTTAATATTTTCCAATTTGAAATAGGTTTCTTCCATATCTTCGAGGTGCAGCAAGTTCCATTTCAATTTTATAGCTTGGGAAGTGCCTATAAAATTGTTGCAATCTTATCGGAGAAAATTGGGATCGACGGATAACGTATTAATTTTATCAGGACTAACAGATACTGTTAACTCGTCGGGAATCCTCGAACGGGATACTTAAAAACACTTAATACTCTGCTTGTTAAGCAAAACCGGGAAGAAAAATTGAGAACTGGTTTCGCAGAATACTTCGTGGTATGGGGGTATCCTTGAGGCCGATGGAATTTTCCCTGAAGGATATCGAATTCGAAAGGATATTGAGATTCGACCGGTCGGAATGCGACGCGTCGCATTTTCAATTTAACACGTTCGATGCCGGATGGCTTGACGCTGCAGAATCAGCGGAATGAGGAACATCCACTGAATTAAACGATGGGAAACGTTTCTATATTTTAAATAACGCTACTCGAAACAGCAACATTTAAACAAGACACGTTTGCCATAATGATAACGCGCTTAAATAAATTTAGCAACTCGATTTGGTTCGAATCACCGTCTTAACTCTTTGCTATCGCATTGCAAATCATGCGCACTCTACGTGTATGTCGAAAAGATTATTTCAAAGCGACTTAATTTCTTTTTATTCTAATTTCTGTTCTATATTCAGTTTACGTAAGTTCTACGTTAAAACTTTTTGTCTTAACGAAGCCGTTACTTCACGTAGAAAATAAATTTCTTTCTTTCATTTACTTATTTCACCGCAGCGGTGAAAGTGTCAGTAATAGGGCGCCATAATTAAATGAAGTAAATTTTAACGAAACTCTTGCTGCCGCTTGGAAAATAAATTTACTTATTCCACCGCAACGGTAAAAGTGTCAATAAAAGGGCACATTCCATCTTACGGCCGCAAAGGGTTAATAACGGTTTGATTCGCGGGCCTCGTTACGTTAATCGTTTATTTCTGCCGCTTCTCGGCGATATTTATCGCCGGGACGCCGGATTGATTTTATTGCGACGGAAGGATGATTAAACCCCTGGACGATCTATCAACTAAATGCACGGATACGTTTCGTTTTGGTTATCGTT